TAATACAAATTCTAACTGTCTATTCAGTAGGACTATCAGCTGTGTACTGTATCCACCTCCTGCACAACACAACTGATGGTCCCAACCCCATTTATAAGGCTTGAAATCCCACTTATTAAACCTGACAGGGCACACCTGTGAAGTGAAAACCATTTCAGGTGACTACCTCTTGACACTCATCAACAGAATGCCAAGAGTGTGTGTAGCAGTAATCAAACCAAAAGGTGGCTACTTTGAAGAACCTACAATATAAGACATATTTTCAGTTGTTTCACACTTTTTTGTTCAGTATATAATTCCACGTGTTAATTCATAGTTTTGATGCCTTCAGTGTGAAGCTACAATATTCATAGTCATGAAAATAAAGAAAACTCTTTGAATGAGAAGGCGTGTCCAGACATTTGGTCTGTACTGTATTCTAGTGAGAATGCAGATATTTGAGCATATATGTATAATTTTCTGCCAGTATGAATTAGAGGAAAAATAGTAAATTCAAACCTTTACATCCAAACCTTGTTTGTATCAGTCATTGAACCTATTTTTTTCAGTTCACTGAGAAAAAAATAATATTTTTCAACAAACCTCAAGGTTAATCTGACATCCATGTTGATGATGAGTGGATGTAAACTTCTAACCGGAACTGTGAGTGAGGTTAAAAATAACTCCTTATTAATTTTGATAGTCATTCAATAGGTTTGTTGTCTGTATATGTAAGTAATGACCTGCAACAATAAAGTCACAGAGGGAAAGAGAAGCACCCAGGAGCGAAGGCTTACCAAAGTGGGTAAGGTGTGGACAAGTGTGAGTGACGAGAAGCGACAGAGAGTTATTTTTAGGCTGCCCGTGTCGCTGTTATTGCGGTATTCGTTTTGCTGTCTGACTTGAGCAGGACCCGCTGCACAGAGCGGGCATCTAGATCACAGCGGTGACTCACTGATCCCTGACTTGCACCTGAAACTAGCTCTGACCCCTATTCAGACAACAAGATCTTGAACTGTCACGTCCTTATACTGGCATGACAGAATGCCACAGAGGTGTCACTTGGGCTCCTTTGAAGGGAGCGTTGAAAATTTAAAATCAGGGATGGAATTAAACATCTATTAAGTCTGTAGGCAAACCAATAGACATATGATTGACATGCAATTGTTGATGTTTTTTTCCACACTTATTTTGAACTAAATGTTATATACTAGTATTTTTTTTTATGTTTTTCTTATCGTGTGAAAATCAGGTTAAATTACTACTTGCTTTTTCTTTTTGGTCCTAAAAGTTAGATAAGGGCCAACACTGTCTGCATTCTTGAAGCCGTAAGCAATACTTTGAAGCTTATTTACTTCTTTATTGCTGCCTCAAAAAATTATTTATTCCTTAATTCATTTTTTTATTTCTTTTCAGCAGAGGTAGCATATTTCACACTTCACAGGTTAGACATGTTAATAAAAAAGAGGGTTTTTATGTTTTCTATTCCTATCAAGCTCAAGTGTGGTATGGGAGCTGCATGGCACATGAGAGAAAGGACTTAGCACGGGTGGTGAGGACAGCACAGGGGATTGCGTTGTTTTTGTCTGTCATACAGGGCGCTCCATCCGTGGTAACGTCCACCAGTCTGTTCCACAGCAAACCAAGTTGCTCGATGACTTCGCATAGCTGCTGAAATATATTTGTGGCTGTTGTGCGGCCATACATAGGACACTTGGAAACTTTTCTGTCACCTCAAACGTCTCATCAACACCTCTGACAAAGATTGCCAGCTGTGCAGCATCACTCTTGTCAGTGCTTTCATCCAGTGCCATGGAATATGACGTAAAACTTCATAAATGTTGTTCATAAATGTTAATTGACAGCCCACTAATTTGTTCTGCCACAGTATTAGCTGACAGAGAAATGTTGTTGAATAAGCTCCTCTTTTCAGGGCAGAGAATATCAACAACTCGCAACATTCAGTCTTTCAGAAATTCCCCTTCAGTGAATGGTTTTCCCGCTTTAGCGATTAACTCACCAATAAGGTAACTTGCTTGAACGGCCGCATCAGCATCTTTTCTGGACTTCTGGAAAAGTTCTTGCTGGAATTGTAATCCTTTTTGGGGCTGATCCACTTTTTTTTATTCTGTCATCTCCCTTGTAGCTTTTATGATACTCGCCATGTTTAGTCGCATGATGACGCTTGGGATTATATTCCTTAAGAACAGCAATTTTCTCTTTACATATAAGGCAAATCGCATTTCTGTCGAACTCAACAAAAAATACTGCAATGTCCACCTATCTTAAAATCGTCCGTGTTCGTCATCAACTTTTCTTTTATGTTTGGTTAGCGACATCTTTGGTTTCTTCTTCAACTGTTACTATTAGCCTATTTCTTCTCCTTCACGTATTCTCCCAATTTTACTTCTCCCGATTGTCTTTGGTTGCTTTTCCTTTGTAATTATTTTGCTTTAAAAAAACTTTAGTGTTTGATTTGAGATTTTTTTAAAGCTACTGTCTTCATTTTGCAATAGCAATATATATTTTTTTATCTTGAAAAAAATTGTAAAGGGCCAAACCCCATTATGTATGTGATATTGGGGCATGGGCCGGAAGTAGAGGTGGTGGGGGGCGAAAGTGGCCCTGGGGCCGGGAGTTTGAGACTCCTGATCTAGAGCTTTAAAGAAATACTTGGCCCCTTTTGGGATTTTATCTGTTTTTGGGCTTTCCAAAAACAAAAATTGACTCTATTTGAAAAAGTAATTGCTGACCCCTCCATCCACATTACTGCCAGACCAGCAAAACAAGGAAATCACTTAACCATTGTGTGGTGTTTGGGTCTGTGGGACCCATTTTCATTATTTACTGAAGTACCCAGAAGTACCCAGTGAGAACCCACACATGCACGGGGAGAACATGCAAACTCCATGCAGAAAGACCCCCGGCCAGGAATAGAACCCAGGACGTTCTCGCTGCAAGGCAACAGTGCTACCAACTGCACCACCGTGCAGCCCCCAAAAGCAAACATTCTCATGTAATGTTATGGTGTGTGAGATATAGGACACCAGAATGCAGACCAGAAGGCAGCATGACGGTAAGTGCAAAAGATTTAATAACAAAAAACTCACTCACTAGGAGGCAGAAACCAAAACAATAAACGCACAGGCAAAACTGACATGGGCAGCCTGGCAAGACAGGCTTGACATGAACAGGAGGACATGAGCTTGAATTGAAAACAAGACTTGAGCATGAAAAATGTTTCCGCGAAGAACAACTGAACAGGAGTGTATATATGGAGTGTAAACCAGGTGAAGCAAGACAGATTAACTAGGTGCAGGTGAACCAAATAAAGTTGATTAACAGA